ACGCGGCTCCTGCAAGGACCAGCGCTACCCTCTGCGTGCATCTCGGTCTTTGGAGACTGCATGGGCAGGGAGAAACATCTGGGGCTGAAATAACCTCCGGACTCTGCAGGACCTGTTACACTAACCAATGCTTCTGTATTTCCAGGTCTGAGGTTTGGATTTGCTTTGGAAGTCACAGAGTAGTTGCCGCCTCGTTCTACCTAGATTCAGCTTTTAATATAGTAGTATTATTACAAACAGGAAAAAAGGTATGTACTAATATAATACTAATTTAGTTTTGACTAAGACTTAAATCTTCTGAAAGTGGCACTGAGCTGATATGGATCAGATGACTAAACTTCCTTGTCTCTCAAATATTAAAATATATAAATATTTTTATAGGCATATACTTTTTTCCTTCTGCTGCCAAGTTTTCTGTGGGTGATCTGGCATATGCTCCCTTTGAGGACTGGCATGAATCGATAAGCACTCAGCATGATGAAAGCAGTGTACATTTTACTGAACACAGGAAATTGTTGCTCTCTAGTAATTCCTTTCATTCAAAGTCTGTCTCAATGATTTGGTTTTTTCTCCCCTAAATAAGGAGAAAAACTCAGAGTGCAGTGTGAACACTAATGAGACATATAGGATAACCAAGCATAATTTGGCCTTGGAGCCTCCATGTTGAATAAGTGGTGTGCCATGCTGTCAGTAACAAAACAGTTCAAATCTGAAGCCACAATTGTGGAATTACTTGTGTTAGTGCCATTTATTGCAAGAGCAATGTCTTATTTTGTTTTAAGCTCCCTTAGATTTATGTAACAGATTGGATGGGTAAAGTCACTGAGTGACAGTATTTGGCCTTCTGGTGTATTTTTCTAATGTTCAAGAATAATAAATCTGTTTAGATACAGGCTTTCTGAAAGCCTTGGTTGTATCCAAGTGTCTATGTTTCTTGTACGAAGGATGTAGTTTATACAATGTATCTTTCTATGATTCTTTCAAGGTAGCCTACTGGGAATTATGTTTCCCATTCAAATTATGCCAAAATACATTTTGGGAGGTAACAGGCTTCAAAAGAAGCATTACAGTAGGTAGAGGAGTGAAAATTGTTCTGTTTACTGACGTACTGTGCTTGAAGACAGGCTTAAAAGCCAGTGAGGCACTAATTCACATGTGTATTTGTGTGGGTATCAAGACTCATGCAGCTTTTTGACAGCACTGCCAGACAGCAGCACGGTTCTGAAACAGTGGGAGCTCTTTGGCTGAGTTATTTTACCCCAGATAAATAAGCTTGTTTTAACTGCTTGCCCAGTGAAATTATCTTGATGAAAACTTGAGAACTGAATTAATTTGAATGTTTTATTTCAAAGTGTCACATTTGTATTTCTGCTTTCCAGCTGCCTTCCTGAGAGATGAGGTGTAATTCTTATTTATAATATTCTGTTGTGGGGGGGACTTGCACTAGGAACATGACAGCCAGACACAATTCAAGATGCTCATGTTCATTCCCTTTCTACTCCTCTTCTGAAAGTCACCCAGTGTATCATCATGGGTAGAGTTTTCTTAGCTGTTCTTCACCACGAGGAGAGCAGATGCTTTATAGGTGAGGAGGTGAGACAAGCATGAAATATTCCAGCCTTAGACACCTGAGGGAAGACTATGCCTCTATAATCAATATAAAAGTAACCTTCAGCACTGTTCTCTGGATGCACTCTTTAGCTTTCATTTGAGAGATCCAGGAAGATAAGAAGCTGGAAAGCCCAAGTATGCTGAAGCTAGGCAGTGATACTCCAGGAGATCTGCCCAATGCAGTAAAATCAGTCAAAATACAAGAATGCTAAGTCTCGTTCATGAGCACAACCATTTTCTGTCTCTAAGTGGATCTGAGGGCATTTCTGTAATGCTTTTGCCAGTCAAGTTATTGTAAACTGTGTATGTTTCATCTTTCTCTTCCCTCAGGAAACAAATATCTCCATACCTAAGAGGAAAAGGGAGACTTTGCTCTGAAATAATTGATAAACAAGTGTGAAGCATGAGGATCAACTCTGCTGTTCAGGCTGCTATTGACCTCACAGCGGGTGCTGCAGGTAATGCTTAATTGCACAAAACCTCTGAGAGACAGGTTTAATGCCTTTGACAAATATAAAAGCAGTTTGCAGTTGCTATAAAAAGGCTCACCCTCTGTGGTTTAAGGGTATAAGGAGAAGCAGTGACCTCAGCCAGGGCTGTAACTGTATCACTATTGCTCCTCCCTGGTGAAACCCCTGCCACACAGTGAAGAAGACATAACACTTTTCTCAGACTAATCATTTTCTATAAGGAGGTTTAAGTGCTGCTTACATGAGTTTATGAATCAGAGTATCAGTAGGGTTTTGCAAGGAATTCAGTGCGTGGTTGATTGAGGTGCTGCTTTTGTCAGAGGAACCGTCCCTAAGTGAAAGGGACAAAAGGCTGCCTGAAGGGTTTCTGGCTCAGACAAAATGCTAGTGTGAGTCTCTAAAACCTGTGAAGCTCAGTAGTAGAACTGATGATGAATTTGCATAACTGACTTCCACTTCAGTCTACTCTGTGCTGTCAAATTTTGCTGGACTGGTTGTGTGGAAATGGTTGCACTTTCTCATTGATATTGCCGCGTTGGTCATGTCTATGGCTTAGGAATGCAATTTTGAACTCTGCCAGGGAAAAGGGGTCTTTTTGACACTTCTAACCTAACAGTGGTTCTATGGAAAAGGTGGAAGATTTGTCTAATTTACTTTTGTAACTAGTTTAGACAATGTTAGTGTTCTTTTTTTCTTTCCCATACAATAAATATTGCAGTCAGTCCTCTCATGGCAATGTTAAGGCTGTGAATATGGCAGTATTAACGGTGTTAAGTGAATTCAATGGTAGTTATTTGCAGTCAGTGGAGGTTAACAGTGCAATGAGAAAGGGGTAACAGCACAAGTCCAGTGTGGCAATCTCTGCACTCTTTAGAAAATGTAATTAAGTAAGCAAACAGCTTGTTCTTCCAGAAAATGCATAACCTGGCTTTACCTTCCTCTCCGCATACAGTCTTGACTAGCTGATAAGTAATGACATATTGAGGCAAGAAAATTCTGGACAAGAATAAAGAAGTCATTTGGCTGTCTGTGGTCACAGTCCTTCACCTAGGATCCAAGCAACCTCTAATACCTGCTTTGATTCAGTAGGACTCTTTTCCCCACCACTGCCACATTATTAGGCCCACACTTGTCTGAAAGTTCAAACAGATTTGATGTTTTGAGTTTCTGGTTTGTTTTAATTTTGTAGTTGGGTTGGGTTTTTTGTGACTCTTTACTGCTGGCTGGAAAAATTTATTTTTCTTAATATTTCAGACAATAACTAGGACTCTTGGTCTTTATCTTGAGGCTTACAAAATTCATTGTTGCCATTTACTAGGCTTTTTGAGCCAACTCCATTAACAGCCTTTTTGGAACAGCCATTCTGTCAACTCCAAATTTTTCAGCTTTACATTTCCAAGAACATTCCTGGTTTCCCTGGACATCTTCCAACAGCCATTATTTTATTACAGGAACCTAGCATTTGTCCTGTAGACAACATCTACCTGACTTCCCTGCAAATAACTAACACTGGCTGAGCCTTCCCAGCTCTGTTTTTTATTTGAACCTTACATGGGTATTACTGGTCTGAGCCAGTTACTTTTCTCCTTGGATATCCTTCCAGAGCAGGAAACTCTTTGTGCTTCCTTGCATGATTTGCTCTGAAGCTCTTAATGATCCATCTGGTTGGGAAGGAGGTTTTACAGCAGCTAGATCCTGAGTTTCTCTCAAAGGCCTGGAGTACCTCTTTGCAGAGAAGCAAGAACAATGTTACACAAATGTGTTTGCAAAGAGTAAAATGGACTGCTAATAACACTGGTTAAACAAATACTCTTCTCCCCACTTAAAAGAAAAATAACGAATCTTATTTTGATGTGCTAATTTGTTTCTGTTTCAGTTGCTTTCCTATCTGTATTTACAGATAGTTTAAGCTATGTGCATGTCAATTGTGCTTTGGTTAAAGATCAGCTTCTGTTTTAGTAAAGTTCTCTCTTGCTACAAAACAAAACCATGAA